CAACAGCTGTTTCGATACAACGCGTTTTATGAAACCATAACCATATAATTACAATATTCAAAATCGCAACTTTACATGAAATTTGAAAATTTTAAAACCCTGCAGGTGATTTTCTTTACGATGTCTCTTCGTATTCTATAAAGATAAACGAAACCGAACATTTTCCATTGCTCGGGAAATCTTCCTTGATACTAACACAATACAAATACTTGCGTAATTGCTCTGTATAATTGCATTGCAACGAATGAACTCCGCACTTTGGACATGAACTTCCGGAAACTAACGGTCCTAACATTAACGCAGCCCGAGGAAGCGAACACGCATCTCTTTCCATTTCTCACTAGAATCTAACACGGACACCAAATGTTTTAAACGCTGCACTAGAATTCGCTCAGAACAGCTGGTACATAACTTAAAGATCTTTGAGTGGGAAGAAAAGATCTAACCTCCTCCATTTTCAGCAAAAGGTTATACTGCAGGAAATTTTGCAATCCTGTGCAAGAATTGCAATCCTTTGCAATTATTAACCTCGCCCATTTCTCGGAGAGACGATACATGGAGGTCATTTTGTAAATGCAGTGAGTTATCTCCATTTCTGGCGCTTTTAGATTCATCCCAGTTTTAACAATCAAGGATTTTTTAAAAATAATCTTGAAGTCCATATTATAATATTCTATTGCAAAATATTTGTCCAACAAATTCTCATCCATTCTGCCCTACAGCAAACTTGTTTTTCGATTTTATCTGTTTTGCCCACACAATCAGTGGAAATATAAAACAGGATTTTGTAGCCATTCTTCTTCAGCACCGTTTAGGACAAACACCTTGATCTTACAGTGTATTTAAAGGCTTTCATAACAGTGCCAATAATTGAAAAAGGTTTCCATTATACGTTATCAGCAAACCGTAAAATTTCACCTGTTCGTGTGCAAAGAAGCTGAACACGACTATCGTTATTAAACCGTCTTTAAGATCAAGTCTTGCGGGCGGCTCTTATTTGTGTAGCCACCCCATCGTTGCTCCGACACCGGAGAGATTTCGCTTCGTCGACGATTGGCACACGAAACAGGCGGACCTAATGGAAAGAGATACCTAATTACCTCTCGGAGGCTTATTACTTGTGACGGAGACCCGATTAATTTGAAGTGGATCGAGATAGCGGCGGAGTCTTGAACGCCGGCGAGCCGGCGCGGCAGACGCGAGGGCGGCGCAAGGGCCGGTGGGAGGGGGAGGGGGCGGGAGCTCTCCGACTGCGTCGATAAGGCGCGGGGCGCAGGCGGGGCAGCGGGCGCGGCCCAGCCCGGGCCGAGACCAACTCCCCCCCCCCCGGCTTGACACTTTTGTTAACCGTTCACGCCTTCTAGATCTTGAGATATCTGGTTGGTACCGTTGCTTAGATTCGGAGCGGAATAGACCTCCAGGAGGATTGAGATGCAAGGCAAGTCCCTGACATTGAAAACATGATTCCAAATAGCCTGAGTAAATTTGTATGAATCGACCTATTCCAGACAACTCTTTCCAAAGGGGATGTACAGTATTCAGTTATGCCGATGGCCTCACAACACTTTTGGACAATATGGCCTGTTCCTCACAAAATAATCTTGAATTTTGCAGCGTTGAAGCCTTGGACTTGCGATAAATCCCTCCTTACATTCCAAGATACCAATCCCAGGATACTGAAACCTTCACAAACAACAAAATTGGAATGCGATTGTTGTTCAATATTCCAGAAACCCAAGAGGGACAATTATGTTTATAAAACCTATATTCGTATAATAATACGAATCTCAATAGTATGGGGTCTCGCAAAGCAAACAGACTATTTTATTCACTCAATATCGCCGACCGATTTAAAACTTATACTCTATTGGCGAAAGAAAAACAAAATTCACGTTTACTTTTGCCACGTAACGCAAATCCATGTTTCACCAATACGCAAAATCATTCAAGAATATAATTTTGTACTTGTGCCGCTTATGTGAACTCGAGAGAAGAGCGGGATCTTGGAAACGACTGCACAGACGGGTGTGCACGGGGCGGCGCCGCGAGGGCGGGCGCGGGTGAGGGCGGCTTTGGGGGCGGGGGGCCCTATTGATCGAGAGGAGCGGTGGTGGCGGCGGCGGTCGCACCGGTACGCTGAACGCGCGGCGGCCGCCGCCGTCGTCGTCGTCGTCCGCACATTCCTAGCGGGCGGGTGGTAGTAGCTGCAGCGGCGGCGGGGTGGCTCGGCGCCGCCGTCGCGTCCGGGCCGAGCCGCGCCCATGTGCGGGCGGCGATGACGTTGCCAACGCGGGACGG